TCTCTCTCTGTCTCAAAAATAAACAAATGTTAAAAAAATTTTTTAAAAAAGAAAAACGAGTATGAGTAAATTTGCTAAGTATAACAAAATGTAGTGATCTTTAGATAAAAGGATCATGGATTATTTTAATTTTCCTATATTCAAATTTTCTACAACTTACATCATTAATTTTATACTAGATGAATATTTTTCAAAGTGCTGAAAGGTGGAGATTTCTGGTTAAAGAGATGCTAAGTTCAAGAGTTTATAAGAATCGAGTATCTTGACATTTGAAATCAGTTCTTTGGTGAATCCATTTTATGAGCACAGAGGGTCTAGTACAGCTCATTACTGAACTAATTCAACGTCAGATGAGAAAACAGATATATCCATATTGCCCCATTTACCAAATCTTCAGTGAATGAAGCTTGGTGGACAAAAACCATCCTGGACCAGAGTTATTAGGAAGGAGGTCTGCATCTCTGCAAAGCATCTTGGGAGCAAGGATTGCTCACACTGGAAGGGAACCTAGGTCCCCACAACATCCAGATTCTACCTGAGTAATGTCTATTTCTAACAAAGGCTGTGAGAGCAAAACACTAAGACAGCCTCACTGAAGGAGTGTGGATGTAGCCTCTGGAGGAGTTTGGCCTGAGGTGGTTACAAAGGACTGAGAGGTGGACACATATCGAGAAAATCAGAGCCATCTGAGAGACCTTCCAACACTCTTTTTTTAGCAACTGTGCTCTTGGTCCCAAACAGGGTTTCTCCCAGAGGGGAACAAGATAACTGGTAGCCTCCAGGGGTCTGTGGGCCAGGCAGACAGGGCAGAGCCTGCACCATAAAGTTACCTGGCGAATGCAGTCACCTACCTGTGGAGTTGGGCAGCCCTCCTCCTCTGGTGTCTGACCTATTTCAACACCACCCTTCTTCTAGGGCAAAGTGTAGAACTGCTCCCTGGTGCCAAATGCTACTTGGGTTGGGGGGGGGCGGGGGCAGGGGGCTGGAGCCACACCCTGCCTCATCTGGTCACCAGTTTACAATGGGCCAGGCACCCAACAGGCCAGTTTCTCCCACCTGACAGCCTGCGGCTCCCTTCCCCCAGGCAGGCCAGCTTTCCCCACACTGGCACAGCCTCCAGCCTACCTGCTGTAATCCCGCAGGTTCCCTCGAGGGGAGAGTGCTCACCTATGGATTCCGCTCTAGCCTCCCAGCTGCACTCTTCTCTCATGGGGACACTTACCGAGCACCTTATGCAACTGTTTTATGTGTTCCTCCAACAACCACAACGGCAGCTCCCAGCAGCCCCCAAGGTGGAGGTGGGGAACTGCACAGTCTGCGCGGTGAATGGGGGAAAGGGCGCAGGCTGGGACAGAGCTGAGCCAGAGGTCTGAAATCATGGCCTCACTCTGGCCAGCGGGAGAAGGTACCACGTTCAGGCCGTCAGTTGTTAAGTAATTTAGATATGGAAAAGACATCAAGCCAGAATAGCCTGGGGGCATGATTAGGTCCACAATAGGGTACTTGCAGAGTCACCCCTGAAGAGGGGCTGAGGTTTCAGCATGGCATCCCCGGCCACAGCACACAAGAAAATAGAGGTTGTCAATATTCACACACACAAGCTGCCCCTCTCCCTGCAGCATCCATGAAGTGTTGCTTTTCAAGTGGGGTTTCTGTGCTTCTAAAGACCAGTGGAGTGTCTGGAACCAGGGAGCTGGGGGACCTAGGAAGACCCCCTTCACCTCCCCCGTTCTTGCAGTGCCCGCCCTCCACTCCTCAGTGGGAAGGGGCCCACGACAGGCAAAGGAGGTCCCTGCTTCTGGACACCAGTCCAGGGAGTGGGGAAGCTGTAAAGATGGAAATCTCAACTCATTACTTCATATCTTTCTTCAGTAAATTGCTGATAAAATCTTTGGCATCATCAGAGATCTCATCGAACGCTTCATCGTCGAAATCCCAGGTGGCTGAGGTCACGTTGGCTAGGGTTTCATTATCGTTGTCACCCATGAAGGGGGAAAGTCCACTAACCCTGGAAGATAAAAGCAGGACAACAGGTGAATGGGGAGTGGCTGATGGCAGGAAAGGCAGGGTGGGACGATCCCCCCAAGAGAGTATTGAGGTCAAAGGTGAGGGCCCTCAAAGCCCTGTACCCCTAATATTCCTGTGCCTGCCTCTCCTCCCACCTGAGGAAAGGAGAGAGGGTGTAGCTCACAGGCTTCTGTGGCCCAGCCTCTTCTCACCACCTGCCTGTGAGGCTGAGGGGAACGAATTCACTTCAGTTTACAGCTTCCACAGTACAGAGCATGGCCCCTCCCCCCGTCCTCTGTTTTCCCCCAAGGCCCAGAACCTTCTCCACGGCTCCCTTCATCTCTGTGCTGTGGCCACCCTCGTCAGGGACTGGTCACATGGTACAGCACTCACCACTGCACCCGCTGTCCCTGCCCCCTTCTACCTCTCGTCTTCATACCCGTCAGCACGAATGAGAGGGCCCAGCACACTCAGGACACTTGGCAAGCTCGGACAAACAGTAGACTTTGAATCAGCAACATGGGTTTGGTGATCTGTCTACACCAGTAAGCCTGAGGCACTTAGGCCAAACCAGAAAGCTTGCGTTAAGAGATACCAAAGCTGAGGAAAGAGCACAGTGTTTTCATTTGTGGGTGACCTTGGACATTTTCCTCCTCTGTATGATGGAGAACCTACTACTTAACTATACAGCAGTCACCACGTGTACCAATTCTCCTTCTCGTCTTCCTCTGTCTCCTCCTCCATCAACATCATCATGGCAGCAAACATTAACCAAACATTTACTATGCGCCAGGCACTAGGCAAACAGCTTAAAATAGATGAACTCATTCCATTTTTTTATCTTTTATTTTTTTCATTTGAGAGAGAGAGAGAAAGTGAGCAAGCATGAGCGGAGGGGAGGGGCAGAGGGAGAGAGAGAGAGAGACAATCCCAAGCAGGATTCACCCTCAGCACAGAGCATGACATGGGGCTTGATCCCACGACTGTGAGATCATGACCTGAGCTGAAATCAAGAGCTGGACACTCAACCAACTGAGCCACTCAGGCGCCCTGAACTCATTCAATCTTAACACCACCCTATAACACAGGTAACTCATTACTTTAACAGATGAGGAAATGGGCATTGATTGGGGTTAGGTAACTTGCCCAAGGATTCAGTCAGTGAGCTCTGAACCCAGGCATCTAGAGCCTAAATCTTCACTGCTCCTTTATATAAAGACCCCTGTGACAGTGAAGTAAACCATAGTTTACAGCTCTGGCACAAGGCCTGGTCCATAGGAAGGGGCTCTGTCTGTGACTGTGGATATTGCATGCTTCTTCTGTGTACAGTTCACCCGCATGGGCTCACTAATCTGTGACCTTGGGAGTGACACATTTACCAATAGTGTAAGCCAAATAAAATGTGTAAGACAAAGTACCTCAAAGCCAAGGAGAACAGATTTACAGCTTACTGGCCTCACCTCTTACTCCTGTGTACCTCCTCTTCATTCCAGCCATCCCCCTGCCATTCGCCCTGACCTGGGGCTGGCAGCATGGGAGTCAGGCCTATGCGGATGCACAGAGCCCCACCCTTAGAAGGCCCCACTGTTGGTTTAATACTCTGCTGTCAAACGGAAACTTGTAGTAATATTTGAACAAGTCATTTCATCTTTTTATTTTGCACTGAGCCCCACAAATTATGTAGCTGGTCCTGCCCTGATCCCACCTGAGTCCCATGAGATAGATCCAGGGCCCTCATGCCATCAGTGTTCCAAACTAAGGCTTCACTAATGTCCCTGCCTCCCAAATCCATATGAATCCATCGTCATAAACAATAACACAAACCCTTCTGGAACTGTCTCTTACATTCATAAGGCCTCAGCTGATGAAATGTAATAGCACCTGAAAACCAAGTTTTGTAAAACAAAACCCACTGAAATATTGTGAGGCAAGCTTGCCATGGGGGGAAACTTCTGGTGAGAGCTTTTGTAAAAAAAAAAAAAAAGAAAACTTTTGCAATGTGAGTGATCTTGCCCTGGTCAATATATTGGTGTTTTAGAATAACAGTTTTAAGGATGGCATTAAAATGTCTTATTTCTGTTCTGCTTGAAGAAGGCACGGGGCTAATTATTCTGGATTGCATGACAATGAAGAAAGGGTGGGAGTGTACCACTCCCGAGTCTGCGGGGTTATATGCTACTCCCTCCCCCATCTCTGGGCCTCAGTTTCCCCTTTTTACACCAAGGGTACTGGGCTAGAATTCCTAGGAGCTCCCAGCGGTCCCCATCTCTGTGATCCTGATCCTGTGTGACTTCAGCCAGTCCCATGGAGAAGCAGCCTGACCCTTGCTTGTCAGCATCTGCCTCCTCCGGTCTTTCCATTTTCCGTTTGAAATGAAGAGGGGTAAAGTCCTGCAGCATTCCAACCACTACAAGAAGGGCAGACAATCCTGCTGTGGAATGCTGAAACGTCCCCTTCTGTAAACTTCCTTTCCTAATTAGGGACTGCAATCCTGCAAAGATAGGGCTTAATCTCTGTAAAGTTCACAACTGGGGAGAGCCTCCTTGCTCCTCCTTCCTGGCAGCCCATCCGTCTGAAATACCCCCAGCCCTGGCTGGCTCCTTGCCGGCAGAGCTCCCACAGAATTCCTCCTGTTAAAGAGTATGTCTCTAAAATAAAACTTGCAATATACGCAGAGCATGATGACAAAGAGAGTGTTGGAATTTCAGTCATGTTTCTTGGTGGTGGAATTTGGCAGGATCTTAAAAAATTTTTTTTGGACTTTTTATTTATTACTAGAATTTGCATAAGGATCATGTATGGTTGGGTTGATCAACCCAGTCAACAAACATAATAACATTAGCATTCAAAATACAACTCTCCACCTCTCTTCCTAGTTTTATCTCATTTGTTAACTGAAGGGGATCAGAGTATGCCACTCCAAAATATGCCACTTTGGCATAAAGATTGTTTTGAGCTGAAGGCATTAGCTCTTTGCCTTCCCTTTCTGTCTAAAAGCAGGACAATGATTTCTTTTTTATTAAGGTGACAGAATTTCCGGGGCACCTGAGTGGCTTAGTCAGTTAAATGTCTGATTTCAGCTCAGGTCATGATCTTGCAGTCTGTGAGTTAGAGCCCCAGGTCAAGCCTGTTTCAGATTCTGTGTCCCCTCTCTCTCTGCCCCTCCTTCACTCATTCTCTCTCTCTCTCAACATAAACATTAAAAAAAAAGTGACATAAATTTCCATTTGTAAATATGTTCTCTCCTTTACCAGAAACAGACTCATCTTAACAGACCTTGCAAAACAACCTTTATTTACTACACATTTCCTAGTCACCTTCTCACAACTTACCCCTCCAGAAGCCCCAAACCCCTTTCCTTTGTCTAATAACAACAATAATCGCTTGCTCTTTGTTAAAATAGTATGTAAGCCCCCAAATCTAAACACCTCTTGAATCACATTTCTTTGTGAACTCCTACGCATCTTTTTTTTCCCCCTCTTGTTAATCTGTCTCTTGTCAGTTTGATTTGCAGGCTTCCAAGAAAAGAACCTAAAAAGGTGGAGGGAAGTTTTTTCTTCCTCCCCAACATAACCAATGGATTTATCTAGTTTTTACAAAACTATAGTCAGAGTGGGCAAGTTTTTAGATGCTCCACTTTTTTTTGTCACTTGACATTGCTGTTCACAAGTGTGTGCACAGTCTTCACATTCATTTTTAATGGTCGCTGAGAGGTCACAAAGGTCATGACTGCAGGGTGTTCTCATTTAATTCTTACTCTCTCACTGAAGCAAAACTTCACCCATCGAATCTGATGCCCACGGCTGTTTTGCTTGCAGGGCAGAACATCAGAACGGAGAAAGGTACAGAAATGCCTCTTGCACTATACTTTCTTCATGGTGTTTTTCAAGCAGCAGGTGACCCCACTGCACGAATGGCCCACTGAAACAGACCACACATCTGCCAGCAGAACTACTGAGTGCTTAGGAAGGTGTTAGTCTTTTGTCCCATTTTAGCCTTCAGATACTCATTCCCTGGTGCGGTGGGAAGATTCGAGAGGGCTGGGCAGGTCCCAGAGGAAGAACTGGGTATCCTTTTGTGCAGTGGCCTAGAAAGTAGACACCCTGGGTTAGTCACGCTAACCACAGCCCATGTCTCTGGAGAGAAAAACCTGCAGTGGTGGCTGGGACTGGCGTGGGCTCAGGGCACCTGGAGGATGCAGAAGCTGGAATCAGAGAGCATGTCTGCGAGGGCAGGGGCAGCTTTTAGTGGGGCTGTCTGTTCCCTCTGAAGAACCATGCACCAAACCCCAAGTCTGAGTATGTACCTGATGCTTGGGCACTAGGTCTTCTCCCTCGCTCACTGGGCTCATGTCCCCAGAAGTTAGATTTTGGTTGGGGATGGCCCCAGCTCTCTGGACCACAGTAGGTGCTCAACAAATGAGCTGAAGTAGGAAATCTGTCGCTGAGCCCAATAAGAAGATGGTAGGAAGAAAGCAGAGGAGTAACTGCCCTCTACCTTGGCTTGAAGCAGGAGAGGGAGAGAAGGAATTCTGGAGTAGGGGTGAGAGAAGGGCACACAGAAGGTTTCTGGTGTCCCCACAGGCAGTAAGGGAATGCTAAATGCTCAGAAAATAGGGGAGAGAAAAGCAAGAAAGGAAAGGAGGTCTTAGAAAAGGAGGCAAGGCTTAGAATATCTTCCATGTTGAAGTGTGGCCTAGAGCACTCCTGTCCTGTCTCCTCCTGCCAGAAACCAAATGGACATTACTAACACCAGAAGAATCTCCAGGAAATTCAGAGAATCTACCATCTCCCTCCAGAATCAGGGATGCGAGGGTAGGGGGGCCCATAACCCCAGCCACCGCATTTATACTCCGCCTGGAAAACCTGGGGCGGGCCACGAGGCCAGAACAGGATCCAGTGCCAGAACAGGATCTGCCTTGATATCCCTGAGGGGTTTCAGGAGCTCCTCCAACAAAGTCAGAAAAACCTACAGGGACAGAGCTCATGGCTCAGGGAGTGCTCACCAAATATACATTGAATAGTAAATGAGTTATCACTTATTTTCACAACTCCCTGGCCTCTCTCACTGGCCCCAGAAATGAGATGGAGGTGTTCCTCTGGTACAAATGTGGAAGGTGGCCCTGACAAGGGCTGTCAGACAGACAACCAAGCTCCAAAGAGAGGGACAGAGGACAGAACCTCTTCTGGGGACTTCCAGCAACAGCTCCAGAATTTTGCAAAGCGGGGTCTGAAAAAAGCCATTTGGCTGGCTCCACATTTTGTTTTGGGTGCCATGTGCTCTGCTGAGAGCCCTCACTCAGGAGAGGAGCTCCCAGTCCTCAATCCCCACTGTGAGAGCCAACAGGAAAAGTCCCAGAGGGCAGGGCAGCCCACAGTGGGGTACGCAGGAGCCAGGATGCTGCAGGAGGCTTCTCAGGGCCGGCCTGTGTCCATCAGGTCTGGCCCTCACCTGCCTCCCTGTCACACACATCTCTCCCCTCTTCTTGCACTCTGCTGCCCAAACACCCTTAGGATGGTGCCCCAGTCAGCAAAATTATGTTCTCCCCATTTCAAAAAGCTCTCCCTTATTTCTTGGTCTTAGCTTTAAAAGTAATCTAGTAAAGCAATAGAACATATTATCCAAATTGTTATGTTTCTCCACCTAAAATAATTTGCATTTTATTTTATTTATTTTTTTTAACTTTTTTTTTTAATGTTTATTTCTGAGACAGAGACAGAGCATGAGTGGGGGAGGGGCAGAGAGAGAGGGAGACACAGAATCAGAAGCAGGCTCCAGACTCTGAGCTGTCAGCACAGAACCCAACGTGGGACTCGAACTCACAAACCATGAGATCATGACCTGACCCGCAGTCAGACGCTTAACCAACTGAGCCACCCAGGTGCCCCTGCATTTTAAAATAAAGTACTCTTATGACTCAATAATTCTAGTTCTAGATTATACATCCAACAGAAATGCATAAAAGCATTCACTAAGACACATGTAACAGAATACCTGAAATATCCCAAACTGGCATCTATTAAAAACCCATCAATGTGAAATGGATAAATAAACTGGACGATGTTCCTACCGTGGAACACTACATAGCACCGAGAATGAACAATCTACAGCTACATACAATAAAATGAATGGGTCTCACAAACAATGTTGAGCAAAGGAAGCCAGATATGGCTCACTGTATGATTTTGTTTACGTAAAGTTCAAAAACAGGCAAAACTAGCACGTGACGTTAGACATGATGATGGTTACCTCTGAGGGATAGTGACTGGGAGGGGCACGGGGAGGGCTGCAGGGGCCGGACTAGTGTGGGGGTTCTTCATCTGGGTACAGGTTACACAGGTGTGTTCACTGTGAAAATTAAAGGGCAGTCCAGGCCCTGCCTCGTCCCTGACTAGTTGGACCAACTCTCCTAATTTCCTGGACTATCCTTACTTTAGCACTGAGAGCCCTATATCCCGGGCAATTCATCAGGAACTGGGAAGGCACTGGGGGAACTGGGAAGGCTGGTCACCCTCCAGGACCGTGGGAAATAGGCAGTCACGTGTACTTCCTTGGCCCCGGTCACCTCCGAGCCAAACAAAGATCAAATCCCTGCCCCGATTCACTCCCAGGTTTGTTCTGAGGATCAGACAGGAGCCCAGGTGAAAATCTGTGGGAGCAGATGATCCCAATGTGCAGCAGTGAGAAAACCGATGGAGACAGTTATGCAAATCTTGATGGCTGCAGAGGGACCCAGGGACTGAGCCAGGATACGAGACAACTAGATCTGGACATAATAAACTGACTGAAGATTGTTTCTCAAGTGCCAGGTGTCTCCCCCGGGGCCAGACATCCAGTGTGAGCACTGTGCAGCCTGGGGCAGCCCCAGAAGAGGCGACTGGGCCCACTGGCCTGATGTTTCTTATTTACCAAGGGAGCTAGGAGTACAGATTGGATGTAGTTTTTGTTACTCATTGCTCCCTTACTCCTGGAGTGAGGCTGGGGTAGGAAGACACAGGTACATGCACTACTGGCCAGGGAGTTTCTTCTCCGTGGCTCTGGGGGAGGAGGTGGTGGTGGTTGTGCTGGGGTGACCCTGGGCCAGGAAGAAGCTGACTCTCTGGGGTACGGAGTCCATGACACAAGTTTAACTGAGGGAGGCTATCCTGACACACCACAGTGAGACTAAAACTCCCGAGCATGTGGAAAAGCCACAGGGCACACACACAAGATCACTCCATTTCTGCTAAAGCTTTTGTAATGGTGGCTACTAACTAACCCTGGCTGTGCAGAATAACCTAGGGCCATTTATCATACTGGGGTCTAAAAAAGCATTCTTAGGCCTTCCTCCAGTTTTCTATGAAAACATAAACATTTCTGTTTGCTTCAACAATGAAAAATATTATTTTCAAAATGAATGCATGTGTATCTGCATCTTCAGAGGGACCATCCCATTACTGCGTGTTGCTACATGAGATCAGGGGCTGCCTCTGCGGCCGGTGACTATCGGCAGCCCGGGCTTTCAGAGACTCAATCACTAAGGTCCCGCCAAAGTGTGTTCCAGAGACTGCTACTCATAAGTGTGGTCCTTGGATCAGTACCACTGGTGACCTGGAACCTGTTAGAAATGTGGTTTGTAGGTCTCCCAGACCTTCTGAACCAGAACCTGCAATCTAAGGAGAGGCCTAGGTGATTCATGCATATTATTGTTTACAAAGCACTGGTCTACATTACTGGACTCCCCTTTTTGTTTTTTTTGTTTTGTTTTGTTTTTTAAGTTTATTTTGAGAGAGAGAGAGAGAGAGAGAGAGAGAGAGAGAGAGAATCCCAGGCAGGCTCTGGTTGTCAGCGTGGAGCCCAGTGCAGGCTTGATCTTAGGAATGAACCGTGAGATAGTGACCTGAGCTGAAATCAGGACACTTAACCTACTGAGCCACCCAGGCGCTCTGGCCTCCCCTCTTTTTCTCCAGCATTGTTAACTGAAATGGCCTCATATTTTCTACCTGATTTCCCAGTTCTAATTTCTGTGTGGCTTTCTGTTGTCTGTTGACCCCACTTAAGGCTCTACCATCAAAAGTGCTTATTAATTGGCCCATACAATAGGCTCATGGATGAGGCTTGCAGTTGGGGTCCCCCTGCCATGAGGATGGGGTGCTATCTTCTGAAGATAATGATGACACCCACAGGAGATGTGCACCCGGGCTCCCTGCCTCCATTGGACCCACGTACACAAGTGAGGGTAAATTACACCAGTCACATTCCATCCTCTTGGCCAAAGGCCCCAGCCTGGCCAGCATTAGGGACAGTCAAGGGCCCAGAATGGGGTCTCAGTGTCAGAGCTAGCCACTTCTATAGAAGTGCGATGTGGGCTGCTGACTTCCTCGGAAAAACAGGAGTCGGGCAGGCTGGTGGGAGGGGAATAGGAGCTGCCGCCCTCCTAACTCTGGGGTGGGCTACCCACCATGACCCATCCTGGCCCCTTCAATGTCAGGGCACCCTGGGGGCCCTCCTGTGGAGCTCTCTGCCCCTCCCCGACGTGCCCTGAGACTCACAGGATGTAGCAGATGACGCCGATGCTCCACATGTCCGTGGCATAGCCGATGGGCTCATAGTTGATCACTTCAGGTGCCACAAACTCTGGGGTGCCAAAGAGGACCTTCAGAGATCCTGCATTCTCTGTAACCAGGATGGAGAGGGATCAACTGCCAGAACATTCAGGAGCCAACCAGTGGTAAGTAAATGCTATCTGTGTGCATGGGAGGGACACAGACAAGGCCTGGCCCTCAGCTGCTTTCTGGGAGAGAGACACTCAGCCTCTTTGTAAACAGAGGCATCAATGTACCAGTGAAACTGACAAACTGCACACTCACCGGGGTGGGATGGGGAGAGGAGGCCTATTCGTCCCTGCCCCCAAGTTTCCATGTGTCTGTCTCTTCCATGAGTTCCCTGAAGAAGGGACTGTGCCTTGTGCTTGGCAATAATCTCTCACATTCACTAAGTCCTATGTACCCTGCTCCCTGTTTTATAAGGACTTTCCTATTTAATACTCTCGACAGCCCTGAGGGAGGTATGACCCTCATGTTCCTGAGGAAGAATAGGATAACCAGGGAAGATGCGTGATTTAGCACTTTTCACATGGCAGTCAGGACCTAAAGCCAGGTGGTCCCACTCTGAGCCACACCCTCCTGCCCCCCCCCCCCTTTCAACCCATAGCATCCTATCTCCTCCCAGAGCTAATGGGAGGATAGCCAGGAAAGACCTTAACCCCTTGGTCCCCCTCAAAGGACCAGAGATGCCCAATAGGATGCACATAAATACCATCTCCTGGGGGATCTATCAACAAAGGGGTGGGTGGCACACCTCTGGCCTGTGGGCCACACCTGGCCTTGTTCATGACAGAGCCCATAGCAAATATTCTAAGACAAACCATTTAATGGCCTTCAGATTGAAAGCTCTGCTCCAGCTCCCAGCTGAACCCTTCCTGACTCATTTTAGCTCGTCCCAGTTCTCAAGGCCATGGTAGACACAACTATCCCCACGTTTCTCACCAAGGGAGCCTGCACATCGTGTCCCTTGGGCTCTGACTGCCAGCTCCTGAGACCAGTGGTGCCCTATTCATTCAAATTAGGAATGCTTCCTGCCTGAAGGCAGGCCCTGTACACCAGCTGTTGCCCCCTCAGCAGGTGGAGCAGAGCAGGCTCTCGTACCCAGCATTGGCACTGATTCCCATGCAAGTCACAGCCTGGCAGAACCTGGCTCCCTCAGTATCCTCTCTGTAACAGGGCGCCCTGGCACTCGCTCCCCTCAGGGTGGTGAAAGGCCAGTCTGTGCCAGCTCTCAGGTTCCTGTTGACAGGGAAGTGGTCAGGAGGTAGAGGGGGAGGCTGTTGCTGAGACATTGAACAGCTACACGGGCAGGGAGAATGTGGGCAGGGTATGAGGCAGCTGGTTACGGACCGAAATGGCTTCAGGGCTGGGTACGAAGGTCCCTACCACCTTCTCCCATCCACCCACCTTCCCAAGGCAGGAATAGCAGAGAGGCCTCAGAGAACCCCAAACTAGGTCTGGGGTCCTTGTTCCAGCCCCAGCACCTCTCCTGGCCGGTCCAGGTGGAACCTGCTGGGCAAAGCTACAGTTTCCTAGTCTATAAACCAGGGTTCAAAATCTGCCCTGCTTCTCTCACAGGGTTGCTGTGAGAACCAAATGCAAGTATGAGAAAGTGCTCTGGAAACCGTAGGGTAGGATGCAAATGGGAACAGGCGCCATTGCCAAAATGAGGTGCTGCTGCGCCAGAGTGGAAGCTACAAGAGGGGACCATGACAACAGCCACAACAATAACGAAGAGCTAACACCTACACAGTGCTCACTATGTGCAAGGCACTGCTTGCATCACCTAACCTATATTAACTCACTTGACCCCCTAATAGCTCTATGAGGTGGGTATGGCTCTTATCCCATTTTACAGATAAGGAATTTAAGACTCTCAGTCAAGTCTATTTAGTGACAAGGGCAGGATCTGAGCCTCAGCAGCCGCCACGGTCTCCAATTTCAACTCCAACACAGTGCATTCCCTCTCGTGCCCAGTGTGTGGAACACAAACGGCTACCTCCACTGCATGTGGGTGACAACAGGACGGGTGGATGGCCTTACCCAGCTTTCTGGCCAGACCAAAGTCGATGAGCTTGATTCTGGTGCCAGTCTTATTGACACACATGATGTTCTCAGGCTTGAGGTCCAGGTGGACGATGCCCTGCTTGTGGATGTACTCCACCCCCTCCGATATCTGCCTCATGTACTGGATGCATTCCCGCTCCGTCAGCTCAAAGTCCTCGTCAATGATGCGCTCGAACAGCTCACCCCCCGACACACTGCGGGAGCAAAAGGGATGGTCAGATCACAGGATTGCGGGGCCCAGGGCTGGCAGGGGGTCTGGCCAAGAGCAGGCTGGGAATGGGGTGGGGAGGATGGTAGGGGGACTGGCAGGAAAACCTAGGTTAAGAGGGGCCTGGCATTTCTGCAGCTTCCTGAGTTCCAGTCCCCTGCCTTGTTATGTTGGTCCCAGTTTCCATTGTGTGAGGAAGCCCTGGACCTCCTGGTTTCCCTGCTCGGGGGAACTTGTTTGTGCCCACTATGCTGCTGGGGGATTCAGGGGAGCATCTGGGCTGGGCAGTTTCAGAGGTGGTCACGAACTGAGAGATCTAGACATCATCTCCTCGACACAAAGGGTAACCACCAGCCAGGGTGTGTAATGACGACAGGTGTGTAAGGAATCGCTCTTACAAGAGCTGAAGCTTAAAATACTCACGGCACCCATAAGCATCTGTTTTGCATAGCCAGGATCAGAAAAGTATCTGCAATAATAAGGAGGCTTGGCACATTTTCTAAAATTCACTGGCTGTTACCCATTACACTCACAGTTGTGATCAGTTGGCCTCCTCTGGCCAGGCCTATAGTTCCAGTTACTTCCTCCAGGTAAAACTGTTACACCTGTTCCCTTGCCCAGGCTGGAAGTATAGTATACCCTCCTGTCTGGATAGACTTTGGATCCTGACTGTGGTGTTTCTGGAGCTCACAGTGGGCATCTTCTGCTAAGGACTGGCCCAGAGGCTATAGCCAGCCAGCACATCGCCCTTCAGGGCAAAGGCATGGCCTTGCCTCCTGAGTTGCATGGGTCCTTTCTGTTCCCCTGTCCCAGCCCTCTGACCCACCTTCCTTCCTTGCTGCTCAGAAAGTTTAAAGCATCTCCCCAGTGAATTTTATAGCATCCAGACATCAGTAAGCTGTTCTGCAATGGCCTATAGGTCCACCAGCTGAACACAGCTGAGTAGGCTTCCTTCTGGGCCTGTCCTCTTCCAAGGGACTTCCCTCTTCTTTTTTGCAGGGGAGGGGGAAGGGACATTTCCTCTTCTAAGGGGAGCCATCATGAAGAAGGGAAAGAGCTGAGTGTGGATCCTGTCCCTGCCTTTTGTAAGCTGTGTGACTTTGGGCACATTACTTAACCTTTCTGAGTCCTGGTTTCCTTACCTGTCCCTACCTCATAAAATTGTTAGGAATGAAGGAACTTCTGCAAAGCATCATTCCTGACACACAGTAGGAGCTCAGCACATATTAATTACCATTTGACAACCTGTAGTGAGTCAGGTGGATCTTGTCACTGACCCCTGCTGGAGGGACAGACAGGGATGCAGCGTGGGGCCTAGCACACCACCGCCTCCATCACCAACACTTCCTGGGAGGGCTGAGCCAGTGGCCACTGGGGACGCTAGAACTGACACTCTAGAACCAACAGAGCAGGAGGTCCCTGGGTGGCCAGCAGGTGGCGCCTTTGTACCAAAGCCTTCCATTTCTATTGCTCTCTACCAAGGCTCCAAGTCAAATTCTAATCTACATTCCCAGGTCTCTTGGGAGCCTTACTGTCTCCGTTCCTCAATGTCCTCATCTGGAAGATGCACATAAAAATAGCACCACCTCACAGGGTTGCTGTGAAGACTGAGTGGATTAATACAGGTAAAGTGCTTAGCAGAGTGCCTGGCACATAGTAAGTGCTCAATAATGTTAATTACCTCCCCCCCCCCCC